ATCCAAAGAAGCAGTAAGAGGAACTCCAAAGTTAACACCAGGCGAAAGGAAATGTTGTGGTAAATGTCAGGCTGACAGGCAAGCCAAGATGGCACATCCAAAGAGTGGACATCATAAAACGTCCAAAAATCTAGATCTGTTACACATGGAGTTGATGGAAATGAATGATGACCAGCATGAAGGAAGCAATGTCACTCAGGATGTCATGACATTATATTGTGACAATCTTAGTGCTATCAATATGAACCCAATTCAGTATAACAGAACCATGTATAGTGATAACAAACATCACTTTGGAAAAGATCGTGTGGAGCTTGGGGATTATGACCTACAAAGTGCTGACATTTTTACAAGAGATCTCGAGACTACTCAAATTGAAAATTTAAGAAGCAAGTTGGGAATGTGTCTTTATGAGGAATTATAGCAATTAATGGTAATTGGGAATTGTATTTTGAAAATTAATCATTTGCTGATTGGTCAAAATGTTAAGTTCCCTCTTCTTTTGCAATCATACCTCTCTAGCCCCTACACACGATACGTTTGCTTCATTTGGTATCCATACCACTCCTTCATCTTCCATACCCCCTTCAACAACTACAGAAAACCTTCTCTCACACTGTCAAAGTCTCCTGAAATGTCTCAACAATCAAATTCTACCTCTTCCAAGAAGATGTCTTCCATCGCTGATCCGGATTCTGGTACTAGAACTGACTCGAGCAACCTTAACCAGGTTCTTGAGGTAGCACCTCTGCGTATGTTAACCCTAGAAGGTCTGAGCGTGAAGAAGCCTCGTACTTCGCATGCAAGAAGACCCAGAGAATTAGTTTCAGGTCAGGCTCCTCACACTTCACCCTCCATCTCTCATGAGAATACCAATAGGAAAGGCTCTAGGCATGTCCACAACACTATTGCAAATTTGGTATCTAGGATATTGAATGAACCACATGGTGTGCCTGGGATATCAATCCCTCTTAACACTGAGGTTCCTGGATCACACCTGGATCAAAGCAATCAAGATGCTGAAACCATGGGTACAACCTCAGGAAAGAATGATGATAAGGGTCAAACTGATGAGAGTAATGATGATAATGTGCAAAGAGGTAACGATGATGCTGATGATGTCCAGAATAATGATGCTGATGTAGTGAATCTTGATGACTACTCAGATAATGACCTGATAGCTACCATCAACCCTAGCATAGCCAAAAGGCTCATGACTAGGAAAGGAAAGAAAGCTGCTGCTCAGAGTCCTCCCAAGAGGAAAGCTGTATCAAAAGGTACTCATGTTGGTCCTATAAAAGCTTGGAGCAAGGTGGTTCCAAAGAAGAGAAAGGCTCAAATAAGTACTGAATCTGGCTCAGACTCGGATGTTGCTTGTGATGTCACTGACATCCCACCAAAGAAGAAGCCAACAACTAGCAAACTTGCTGCTAGTGTACCTGAAGTTCCTATTGACAATATCTCGTTTCATTATCCCTCTAGTGTCAACCGGTGGAAATATGTGTATCATAAGAGGTTGGCCTTGGAAAGAGAGCTGGCTCAGAATGCCCTTAAATGTAAGGAGATCATGAATCTTATCCATGCTGCTGGTTTAATGAGGGCTGTCACTCAGTTTTCTAAGTGCTATGAAATACTTGTGAAGGAGTTCATAGTGAATCTATCAGAAGATGTGCTGATAGAAAGTCAAATGAGTTTGGAAAAGTATATGTAAGAGGAAAATGTGTCACTTTCTCCTCGACTGTCATCAATAACTATCTAGGAAGATCAGATGGAGCTCAACCTGATCTAGCTGCTTCTGACAACAAAGTATGTCAAGTTATAACTGCCAACCAGGTCAAAAGCTGACCCTCAAAAGGGAAACTGGTTTCCAGTAAACTAAGTGTGAAGTATGCTATGCTGATAGAAAGTCAAATGAGTTTGGAGAAGTATATGTAAGAGGAAAATGTGTCACTTTCTCCTCGACTGTCATCAATAACTATCTAGGAAGATCAGATGGAGCTCAACCTGATCTAGCTGCTTCTGACAACAAAGTATGTCAAGTTATAGCTGCCAACCAGGACAAAAGCTGACCCTCAAAAGGGAAACTGGTTGCAGTAAACTAAGTGTGAAGTATGCTATGCTGCATAAGACTGGAGCTGCCAACAAATCACAAATCAACTGTTGCTACTGTCCTGGGGAAGTTCATTTATGCTGTTGGAACCAAAACAAAGTTTGATTATGGGACCTACATCTTCGATCAAACCACGAAGCATGCAGGCAGTTATAGTGTAAAAGGCCCCATTGCGTTTCCATCACTTATCTGTGGGATCATATTGAATCAGTATCCTAATATCTTAAAAGACAATGAACCTGTGTGCAAGAGAGAAAGTCCATTGTCTTTTCACCACAAGTTGTTTCAAGGAACACATGATCCTGACATTGTCATGACTTCTGCTGAGACATTCAAGAGGAGTTCAAAAACAGGGAAAGCTGAAGTTATTGCTATGCTCAAGGAGACATGCAAAGAGCTGGAGACACGAAAGCTGAATCTAGAAAGGTTGATCAGTTCTCTTGAGAAGAATGAAGATGCTGAGTTTGATAACACTGATGAGGATAAGCATGATGATGGTTATGGGAAAAGTGATGACCAAGAAGTTGAATCAGAAGAAGCTACTGCAAGTTTTGAGGAAGACACTGATGAAGAAAGGGATAGTGATGATGCTGGCTCTGAGTCTGATGACTAGAGTTCTTAGTTTGTTTGCCCCAGAACAAATATTTTGTGAACAACTTTTATGTGTTGCTGTGTTGTAATATTTCTTTAACACTTGTGCTTCCAACCTTGTTTGATCAATACTAATTCTTTAGTTATGATCTAAATTTGTGGCTAAAAAGGGGGAGAAGTAGTTGTTGTGAGCAGACTTAGTTGTGTTTAGATATGTCCCTCACAGGTGGAAGATGAGTTTTGCTGCTGTGCATGTTTGCACTGAGCAGGTGTGCTGATGATATGCTGCTGCTCTGAGTTGTGTTACAGGTGTGCTGATGTGCTGAAGTTGATATGTAGTTGTGAGCAGGATGATGATCTTGTGTGTGTTTGGCTCTTGCTGTTGAGTGTGTGTGTGTGTGTTCCTGGTTGAAACTTAGTAGTATCCTAGCTGTTGGTGGTAGTGTGTGTTTCTGCAGGTTGCTTGCAGATTGTGTTTGACTGTGCATCAGTTGAGGGGGAGTATCACAGGATGTTCCACAAAATGTTGTGACATCTGTAGTCTGGACTAGCAGGTGGTATTGTTGTGCTGTGGAACAGGTGTGTTTCAGGATGTCTTCCTAGATGTCTTGACATCCATAATCCAGAACAGACTGTATGAGTGTGTGTGAACAGGTTGATCCTGATTAGCTGCTTATTGACAGGAAGCTAATACTGTTAGTGTGTGTAGATGACTCTGATATGGTAATTCAGCATGTGTGTTAATTGGTAGTATTAGCTAGTAGCTATCCTGCATGATTAGATATGTGTTGTGAACTTTTCTACTGCTTGTGATCTCTGATATGATGAGAAATTGTTTTAGCCAAAAATTTGCCAAAGGGGGAGTTTGTAGATGTTCTTGATTGGCTGCATTTTATGGTAAAACATTGCTGTGTGTAGATGTCATGACTGATGTCATGACATACTTGTGTAGTGTACTGCAGGGTAAGTTTGGTGAGCTAGAACAGAGAGTATTAGATGTCATGCTGGATGTTATGACATCAGGTAGTGGCCAGCAAGGGCGCGTGTTTTGCTTTTCTGGTATAATGCATGAGTTAGCTCAGGCTAGATTTCAGAAAACATTTTAGGAATCTTAGTTATCTCAGGCGAAATGTCAGGCAGTGCTGAGCATAACGTGAAATGCCTATGACCTAATTGAAAGAACGCTGATTTATGAAAAGAGGTTTAACTTGGTTAAACTTAATTTCTGCACTGAGGCCCAAGGACCATACGTTGCATATAAATAACGAAGTAACAATCCTGATTGTGTACAGAGTTTTTGTGAGTGAAGAATTCCGGTTTTGTGCAATTTGATCTTCACGTGTGTGTTGTGTCTTAGGATTACTTGTGAGTCAAGCAATCATTACCTAGATGATTGTATTGGACTAGTGTGTTCTTGAGTTGTATGTTGATTGTGTCACGCTAAGCTTTTAAGCACGAGTGTTGTGTCTCTTGATTGAAGTTGTGAAGTAAGATCAAGATTTATTTGAAGTGTGTCTTCATTTTAATCTGTAACTTAATTGGTTGATATCACTGCTGTGATTGAGGGGGAGTGAGTAGGAACTCATGTCTAGTGTTAGGCTGAAGTTGCATTGGGTATGTCTTAAGTGAAGAGTGCAAACTGGTTGTTTGGCTCTGAATTAACACTGCTTATAGTGGATTTCCTCCCTGGCTTGGTAGCCCCCAGAGTAGGTGTGATTTGCACCGAACTGGGTCAACAATTCCTTGTGTTATTTACTGCTTTCATTTCCTGTTTACTGTTAAGTTTAATAGTCTGCTTAATAGTGGATGTCATAACATCCGTTATAACATCAACTGTCTGTTACTAGAATTTCACTGATGAAACACTATCTATTTTGTTTGACTAATATTTGTTTAAGTGGTTTTCAAATCACATGGCTATAGCGCATAAAGCTAAGCCATCGTTTCTATAGTTTTACTTTCACATGATATATATGCCCCTGGGAAGCACCTTTAGATATTCAACTAATCATGCTTGATGGAAGTTACCAACCAGTTGCAATAAGTACCTAGTTGTTTATAACAATCAAATTTGTGAGGTCCTGGTGGAAGTTTCTTTTATAATTTCTGTGCCCTGTGTTAGTGGATTGAATGCTGTGGCCATTCAGGTTCCTAATGATAAATCATCTATCATAAAAGTCCATTTTCTCAATGGATAAGTGATATTCTTTTGGGGTTCAATAGGAAGGCTTTGGATGGTGATACTTCATTTGCAAATATAGTGCGGGCTTTGTACTGAGTTTCTTCTTCTTCTTTACAGCTACTTCGGCCAATATACAAGCAAGTTGCGGAAAATCAAAATGCTGAAATATTCTCAGCCAATACACTTCTTGTTATTCTCGGGACCAGTCTTCTTACTGCCAGGGTACGTGATTATCCTATTACTTACCTTCTTATCCTTTCTTTAGGTTTTTGGCTGGCCCTAGAGTTTCTTCTAGAGTTTTTGTTCATTGTATAAGCAATTGTTCATGCTCTCTGCAGTATTGTAATCTTAGAATATTTTAGAAAATGAAATTGTTCATGCTCTCTGCAGTATTGTAATCTTAGAATATTTTAGAAAATGAGAATGCATGTTTGATTGTTTGATCAAACTATTATGAAAACTGAACCAACTGGTCGGACCAGCTCAATGTGAACTGTTCCAGTAGCTTATCCAGTCAAGCTTGTGTACTGCTCCAGTAGCTAATCCAGTCAAGTTTGTGCACTGCTCCAGTGCACTAAATATTGACCGCTTAAATGAATTGCATTTTGAAAATTAAAGCTGTTCAGATTTCTTAACAACAAGATGCACTGGTTATGCGTTGTTTGGTCCATATATCCAAACTCACCTAGGTGGAAAAGACTTTTATATGCACCAACTTGGAAAGTAGGAGTTTAGCAGACTCAGATGTTTGTAGCTTAAGAAGGAAACACTCAATCAGTCGTACTAGTCTTGTGTAATTTAATCATATTGATTATTCATATATTAATTCATTTGATTGCTGCATATAGAAATAGAATTCAAACCTGTGTGTGTAGCTTAAGAAGGTAACTTCAATCCATTACTACTCGTGCTTCATGTGTAATATTATTAGCGTAATTATCCTTATATTATTGTGATTGCTTAAAAGAATCTGAATCATTGAAGTTAAAAAGCCATGGAAGAAATTGCCAAATACTAATTTAGTGTCGGCAAGGCAAATACTTTTAAAAGTTTAGAATTAATTTCCAGCTTCGATTTTTGTGACATTGTGGTTTGTAGTTGTTAACTTGTTATATTATATTTAAAATTAACTTAGTCCCACATAATTTTGTACAAATATTTATTCGTTTTTCCAAAAGAAGTTTCAATACTTTTACAAACTCCAGTACTGTTAAATCTTAATTATATAGAATAACAACATTTTTTTGATAATATGCATGTCTGTGTCTGTATTGTGTTAGACCATTAAACCATAACCTGGTTTGATGATTGGTCTGATGCTCAAAACATTGGGTTTAAGTTCATCATATTTGTGTCCATTAACCCGCCCTCAACTTTTTTCCCTTTTTCTTAAAACAGGCAGGACTTTCTATGGCACTGGGAGCATTTTTGGCTGGTTTACTACTGGCAGAAACTGAATTTTCCTTACAGGTTGAATCTGATATTGCTCCATATCGTGGCCTTCTTTTGGGGCTCTTCTTTATGACGGTAGGTGCTGAATATCAAAATTCACAAATTTATTCTGTTTTATTATATTTATTCATGTAAGAAACATCTGTTTTCATTTTGAACTATCGTTATTGTGATGCCAATAGTTGCAGACAGTTACTATTGATGTGACTACAGTTGTGGTTGTTAGTCCATCAATACCCCAACTTTGCACTTGTAATTGTGGTTGAAACTGCAATTTAAAGCCATCTCGTAAGTTACCTATATGTGAATTATTCTTATAGGAATATTGAAAAGCAATGAGTTGGCCACTTGAGGAATTATACATCAGATATGAAAAGGGAAGTGGTGGATAATTGGATACTAGATACATAATTTGGTGTACTATCAATCTAGTTGTCGGTGGATAAGGGATAGATAGGATGCATTTTAGATTTTGTTCAAAGAGAAGAGTTGATTTTGTGTTACACGCCCTCTTCTGATAAAACCCTATATAATACTTCACTTCTTCACCAAATAGAAAAAATCTTTCCTCATTGAATGCAAGCTCTATAGTTCATCTCCGTTTTCTTGTTTCCTTTCAAGATCAAAATTTGAAAATTATCTTACCCCTTGAGTTTTCATCTTCAATAGTCACCATTAGTGGTTACAATCAATATTTCATGGCCTGAACATGTGTTTATAAGTGGGAGAATCATCACCTCACAAACCAATTTTGTAGGGTTGAGTTATGCTCAACCACAGTACAATTCTTAAGAGTTCAAAATGGAAAATTCGAAGTTGGATCCTTCAATGTGGATAAAGTGAAAAACTATTTAGAGTTGAGAATTTCAGAGATCAAACTTTTGACTAGGTCCATACAAAGTAACTGTTGATATTTGTAAATATATATAAAGTGTTAAGAATATTTGTATATAGAATAGTCCCACATCGACTATATTATGTAATTAGTTGTAATCTATTTATATATAATAATGTCTCCGTAGTGCTTTTCAAAACACGCGGTTTATTCATGTCTCTTAGTCTCTTGTATTTCAACATGGTATCTAGAGCCTACTAATAAGACACTCCGGTTTGCCTCTCACTTTTCAAAATTCTCCCGTAACCGTCTTGCCGCAGTTACAGTTCCGGCAAAACTTCCGACGACGTTTTGAAATTCGAAAAACCGATTTTGTCGCTGTCCTCCGATCCGGTCGTCGCCCTTTTTCCCGCTGCTGCCCCAGAGCCCCTTTTTCCCGCTGCTGCCCTAGCGCGACCGGCGGCTGATTCCGACCGTTTTTCTGCTGATCTACTCACCTCTCCTCACCCATTCCAGATCCGGCCTCTGTTTTACTTTCCGACTCACGGAAAACGGTACTTCAGTGCAAACAACCACGATTTTTTGTGTCATTAAGTTATGGGAGACGCTGATTCTGTCTCGTTTACTAAAGTTCCTCTTATCCCATGTGAAAAATTGACTGGATCAGCAAACTATAACATATGGGCGCGTGCTGTCGATATGTGGTTTCGTGGTCAGGGATATGAAGATCACCTAACCACACAATTGACTAATGTTGCCTCCGACAAACTTGCTAAATGGAAGAAAACAGATGCCTCTCTCCTTACCGTGTTATGGTTCTCCATAGCACCTAACCTCCAAGCACAGTATCAAGCCTTCTCCGCTTGCTATGAAGTTTGGGAAAAGGCCAAGAAAGACTTTTCCAACGACGTTCATTGTCTATACAGTGTCATCCTCAAACTCGACACACTAAAGATAGAAAATATGGATATGCAAAGCTATCTGAGTAAGCTTGATGCTTTGAAAGCAAGTTACGCAACCCTCATGCCGTACGCAAAAGACACAACAGCTCATGCCGAACAACAGAGTAAATTTTTCATGGTGATGACACTTAAAGGACTACCATCCGAACTCGACTCCGTTCGTAACCAGATTTTATCAGGTACTACTGTTCCTAACTATGATGCAGTTTGTGAACAACTGTTGCGCTTGGCTACACCTCATGCGTTTGGTCCGATTTCCCCTCCATCTACTGTTGCTACACCAGGTGACATTGCTGCCCTCGCATCTCTGGGCAACAATCAGAGTCGCCATCGAGGAGGGTCATCCAACTCCAAACCTCGTCCCAAGTGTAACCATTGTAACTGGCTTGGACATACTATCGACCGTTGTTGGAAGCTACATGGCAAACCCCCACGCCAGGTAAATGCAGCTCAAAGTGATAACTCAGAAACTATGCAGACTTCACCTTCTATTCAGAACCCTACGCCAAGCTACGAAGATTTTCTCAGATGGTGTCAGACTAATCAGATCTCTGGTTCCTCTGCTTCGGTTGCACACACTGGTAATTCATCTGTTTGCTTCTCTCAATCATCTCCTCTTGGTCCTTGGGTCCTTGACTCTGGTTCGTCTGATCATGTTACTGGTAATAAAGGTCTTTTTTCTTCCCTCTCCACCTCTGGTTTCTTGCCTATTATAACTGCCGCAAATGGTTCTCAAACCCGATCCCAAGGGATTGGTACTGTTCAAATTTTACCGTCTCTCTCTGTTACTTCTGTCCTTTATGTACCTAATTGCCCATTTAATTTACTGTCAGTCAGTCGTTTAACTCGTTCCCTTAATTGTTCTATCACCTTTACTAATGGTAATGTTACTCTGCAGGATCGGAGTTCGGGACAGACGATTGGCGTCAGATGTGAGTCTCAAGGCCTCTACTACTTCTCTACGTCATCTACCACATGCTCCACCACAGATTCTCCACTCATTATACATGCGCAGTTAGGTCATCTAGGTCTTCCCAAGCTACAAAAGTTGGTGCCCAGTTTATCTAAATTATCCAATTTACATTGTGAGTCTTGTCAGTTAGGGAAACATACTCGTAGTCATTTTTCTGATCGAGTCAATAAACGGGTTGCGTCCCCTTTTGCTTTAGTTCACTCCGATGTTTGGGGTCCCTCACGTACCGTGTCTACTTTTGAGTCTAGGTATTTTGTAACCTTTATTGATGATTTTTCACGCTGCACATGGTTATTTTTAATGAAGAACAGGTCTGAATTGTTTTCTATTTTTGAACAATTTTATCGAGAAATAAGAACCCAATTTGGTTTATCTATTCGTACCCTAAGAAGTGACAATGCACGTGAATATTTATCCCTACAATTTCAAACATTTATGTCATCCAATGGTATTTTGCACCAAACATCTTGCCCTCATACACCCCAACAAAACGGGGTAGCCGAACGCAAAAATCGGCACCTCGTAGAAACCACTTGGACACTACTTCTCCATGGTAATGTTCCTCTCCGGTTTTGGGGAGATGCGGTGTTCACAGCATGTTACCTCATAAATCGCATGCCCTCATCTGTCCTTAATAATAAAATCCCTCATTCAATCCTGTTTCCAAACTCTCCACTCCACCCAATTCCTCCTCGAGTCTTCGGGTCAACGTGTTCTGTACACAATCTCTCCCCTGGTCTTGATAAACTATCAGCTCGATCACTAAAGTGTGTCTTTCTTGGCTATCATCGATCCCAAAAAGGTTATCGTTGCTACTCACATACTTTACAACGATACCTCGTATCCGCCGATGTTACCTTCTTCGAGTCTGTTCCATATTTCGAATCCAGCCAAGTAACTACAGAACCTCTACGGGAAAGTATTCCCACACCTCTTTCGGAAGTCCCATCTGTCATTATCCCCCATCATTCTAGGGAACCTGACCCACTAGTTACCCCTACGGTTGACCCCCCCACTCCTCGCCCACTTCAAACATATCAGCGTCGTCACCCAAAGTCTGTCGTACCTGTCCCTGAAGTTGTACCTGTTCCTGAAGTCGTACCTGTCCCTGAAGTTGTACCTGTCCCTGAGGTCATTACGGACTCTCCTCCGACGCTCTCGCCATCACCGGATTCGATCCTGCAACCTGAGTCTGATCTTCCGATTGCCCTTCGAAAAGATATACGTCAAACACGAAATCCTTCTCCACATTATATTGATTTATGTTATCATCGTTTTTCCCCTTTGCAGTATACTTGTTTGTCTTCTCTGTCTTCTGTTTCTATTCCTAAAACTCCAGGTGAAGCATTATCTCACCCTGAGTGGAGGCAAGCAATGATTGATGAAATGTGTGCTCTTCAAAGCAGTGGTACCTGGGAACTGGTTCCTCTACCCCATGGAAAATCTTTAGTAGGTTGTCGTTGGCTTTATACAGTGAAGGTTGGTCCAGATGGCAAGATTGATCGATTTAAAGCTCGCTTGGTAGCCAAAGGATACACTCAAATTTTTGGGTTGGATTATGGTGATACCTTTTCGCCTGTAGCCAAGATGGCATCTGTTAGACTTCTTCTAGCCATTGCAGCCATTCGACATTGGTCTCTTCATCAACTTGACATCAAAAATGCATTCTTACATGGCGATCTTGAAGAGGAAGTATATATGGAGCAACCACCTGGGTTTGTTGCTCAGGGGGAGTCATCGAATATGGTTTGTAGGCTACACAGGTCTCTTTATGGTCTTAAGCAATCTCCGAGAGCTTGGTTTGACAGATTCAGCACTGTAGTACAACAGTTTGGTATGACCCGTAGTGAAGCTGACCATTCTGTTTTTTATCGTCACTCACCCCAAGGGTGTATTTATCTTATTGTGTATGTAGATGACATTGTCATAACTGGTAGTGATCAGCAGGGAATACTCCAGTTGAAACAACATCTCTCGAAACAATTTCAGACAAAAGATCTTGGTAAACTCCGTTATTTCTTGGGTATTGAAGTAGCCCAATCTAAAGATGGTTTGGTGATTTCTCAGCGGAAATATGCTATGGATATTTTGGAAGAAACAGGTTTGTTAAATGCTAAACCAGCCGATACTCCTATGGATCCAAGTGTTAAACTACTACCCAATCAGGGGGAGCCTCTATCTGACTCAGGAAGGTATAGGAGATTGGTTGGAAAGTTGAATTATCTCACAGTCACTCGTCCGGACATTTCTTTTGCAGTCAGTGTGGTAAGGCAGTTCTTAAATTCCCTTTGTCAGGAACATATGGATGCTGTTATCCGGATTTTGAGATACATCAAATGTGCTCCAGGAAAAGGTCTTGTGTATGAAGATAAAAGACATACCCAGGTAATTGGATACTCTGATGCTGATTGGGCAGGGTCACCCATTGATAGACGATCCACCTCTGGGTATTGTGTACTCGTTGGAGGAAACCTTATATCCTAGAAAAGTAAGAAACAAAATGTAGTTGCAAGATCAAGCGCCGAGGCAGAGTATAGGGCGATGGCAATGGCAACATGTGAACTTATTTGGTTAAAACAGTTGCTCAAGGAACTTCAAATTGAAGAAGTAAGACCAATGACACTTATTTGTGATAATCAAGCTGCATTGCACATTGCTTCAAATCCAGTCTTTCATGAGAGGACCAAACATATTGAGATAGACTGTCACTTTGTCAGAGAGAAGATCGAGTCAGGCGACATCGTCACAAGCTTTGTCAACTCTAATGATCAATTGGCAGATGTGTTTACAAAATCCCTACGAAGCCCCAGAACTAACTATATATGTAACAAGCTTGGTGCATTTGACTTATATGCTCAAGCTTGAGGGAGAGTGTTGATATTTGTAAATATATATAAAGTGTTAAGAATATTTGTATATAGAATAGTCCCACATCGACTATATTATGTAATTAGTTGTAATCTATTTATATATAATAATGTCTCCGTAGTGCTTTTCAAAACACGCGGTTTATTCATGTCTCTTAGTCTCTTGTATTTCAACAGTAACTATCTGCCCTTAAAATTTTATAAATTTAATTTTGGATTCAACAACTGTTTTGTGATGAAGAATTCAAAGTTATTAAAGTATAACTTTTAGTTGGAAAGCAACTGAAATAAGATTTCAAGTAGAGTATTTGATAGTACAAAACAAATAAATTGTAAATATTTCTTGTGGGCTCATCGTCTCACTAAAGTAATACTTACCCTGATTATTACGGTCGGTTATGAATTGAACTTTACACCTCCCCAACGACATTAACCAATCTTCATCCCACTTACATGGGATTTGTGTTTGAGATAGAATTTTATATTACTAGAAAGAAAACTAAACTTTCTAGAGCAAGCAGAAGGGCTTTACTAAAAAATATTGAAACCTTTGTTGATCTAGAATTTAGATGTAACAACTATGTTTAATTCATCAGAAAATGTTGATTTTTTTGCTGTTGATTTGTCTTTGGATACTTAGTACTATTGCTGCAAATGACTTAAAGATCAAGCCAACTTCAATATGTTATTTGTGTAATTAATAGCAGTTATATTGTGACTTCCCAGGTTGGAATGTCAATCGATCCAAAACTTTTTGTTTCAAACTTCCCAGTCGTCACGGGGACACTAGCACTCTTAATATGTGGCAAGACTATCTTAGTTTCTTTGATGGGTAGAATCTTTGGGATTTCCCTCATTTCTGCATTAAGAGCTGGTCTTCTTCTTGCTCCTGGTGGTGAATTTGCATTTGTGGCTTTCGGTGAAGCTGTTAATCAGGTTTTTTGTTCTCGAATACTGTTTTCCTTCCCAATAATCTGTGCTTACTGTTTTCCTTCCCAATAATCTGTGCTTTATTCAATACTATTTTACTCTAGATCTTTATATTAATGTAAAATAAGTCATTTTGCTGTAATTAGTTTAATAAATGGATAAATAGTAGGTGCTGGTCAGAATGCCCGACAAGTACTGAAAAATAAAATTTGTATTTCTTGTTGCCTTTAGTTTTAATCACTGATCATCTTTGTAAGTTCAACAATCCTAAATTGTTTGTGTATTAGTAGCTGCTAATAAGTTTTGTTTTCTTTGGTAGTCTGTAAAAAACTATTACTACTTGCTAATCAACATTTCTGCAGGGCATAATGTCTTCCCAGCTATCTTCTTTGCTGTTTCTTGTTGTGGGCATTTCAATGGCCATCACTCCATGGCTAGCTGCAGGAGGCCAGCTGATTGCTTCCCGTTTCGAGCAGCATGATGTTAGAAGTTTATTACCTGTAGAAAGTGAGGTAAAATCTCTTACATTAGTTTCTGACCAGTAACTTTGTTAATTGCACATGGTCATAAAATTTTCACCTTAAATCTGTGAAACACTGACACGACAGTGACATTGCTAATGTCAAAAACACATGACACCAACGCAGATGCATATTTTTTTATTAAAATATTAATATTAATTTATAAATGATCTAATAAAGTAATACAATTGCATTTACAACTAATTATTAAGAAGCAACTGACCCTAACTAACAAGATTAACAAATAGCTCTTACAGAAAGTTAACAGAACTAACACTAACTATGTCTCCTATGATTTTGAAGGGAACTTCGATACTATTCATGTTTTTTTTTTTTTTTTTTTTTTTTTTTAAATATAAGGAACACTTGTTTCTTCCGCTGGGAATTGTTTTGGGTTGTAAGTTCTTTTAGTCCCACAAACTATGTCTCCAATAATTTTGAAGGGAAACTTCAATACTCTCCATGCCTATTTATATAAGGAACACTTGTTTCTTCCACTTGAACTGTCTTGGGATGAATGTTCTTTTAGTCCCACAATTAATTTCTTTTTCTTTTTCTGCGCCCCCTACTCCATTGATATACAGTGTATGCAGTTAATCTGTGTACTTTTTCCATTTACATATTTTATTTGAAATTGACATAAAAATTTCGTTGACTTATTTTTGTATGTCATCTTTTACAGACAGATGATCTGCAAGATCATATCATTATTTGTGGGTTTGGAAGAGTTGGCCAGGTAAATTCTCTATATTTTGGTTTGATGAATTAGTTTACATAGTGTGCAGGAGTTTACCTATGTTATTTCAGATCATTGCTCAACTTCTTTCTGAGCGACTCATTCCATTTGTTGCACTAGATGTGAGAAGGTAACACAATATCCTAATTGAAATTTCTATCCTTTTCTTGTGATTGTTCTTATTGATGAGTGATTTGATGTATATCACTAGGTTTTTAAACTTAGAGTATCTTACATTAACTCGCGGGATTAGTAATTTATTATGATTTTTCTATTTATTTAGGTTTGAGCTTATGTATCCCTATAAGTAGGGATTAGCTTTTAACCTTTTGTATATAGTTAGTATCAAGTTATTTTTGATAATATTCAAAGTTCATTTTATTTTCTCATCCTTTTATCTAAAACACGTCTTCAAACACTTTTCAATACTCATTTTATCTTAAATTTTCAATTTGTTTTATAATAGAAGTTGTTGAAGATTAGCACATATCAAATCATAATCATTTGATTCTGATTTGTCAAGCTGTTACAAGACAGTGGTATAAATAGATTTATTATCTATTATTGTTATTTTCTTATTTAGGTAGTTGTTATTTCCTTATTTAAGTAGCAACAGTTATAGGAAATAATTTCTCTGTGTATTAACAAATTAGTGTACAGCTTATGTATTCTATTTATACCTCACAATGTAAGAGTCCCAATCACAATGAAATATACAACATATTTCTTCTAAATGGTATCAGAGCACAAGATCTGAACCATCCCTAAACCTTGAGCACCACCCATGGCAGATACTAAAGCAGAAAATTCAGCCAACAGTTTGGCTGAAGGACATGCTCTTCCTATCACTGGTCACAAATTGAATGTCCAGAATTACAATCAATGGGTGCGCTCGGTCAAAATCTACCTTCAAGAAAAAGGGAAGGAAGGTTATATCACAGGAGACTCCAAGTGTCCAAAAAAGGGGGATTCCAACATCGAAAAATGACAATTAGAAAACAGTCTAGTAATGTCATGGCTACTAAACACCATGACAAATGAAATTGGAGAAAATTTCATGTACTATGACACTGCCAAAGAGATGTGGGATGCCGTAAAGGAAACTTACTCTAATGTCGACAATACGTCTGCAATCTTTGAAATAAAGAGCATACTCCATGATTTGCGTCAAGATGACCGCTCAATCACAGAGTATTTTAATACTCTCAATCGTCACTGGCAGCAATTGGATGTATATGATGAAGTTGAATGGAGCTGCACAGATGATAAAAAGAAGTACAAAGAATTGGTGGAGAAAGATAGAGTCTACAAATTTCTATTAGGTTTGAACACAGAACTTGATGAAGTTCGTGGGAGAATCCTTAGAACCAAACCTCTTCCAAAAATTCGAGAAGCATTTTCGGAAATACGAAGAGAGGAGAGCTGGAGAAAAGTGATACTTGGAAAATCCAGTGCAACCTCATCTATAGAAGGATCTGCAATGGCAGCAAGGGGAGATCAACGTTCTTTCCAAAAGAAAACTCGGCTTTGGTGTGACCACTGCAAGAAACCGGGTCATACAAAGGACACATGCTGGATCATTCATGAAAAGCCATCATGGACCAAAAACCGGGACAACAGAGGGAACACAGTTGAGGTAAATTCTCACTCATCACCATTCAACAAGGAGCAAATGGAAGCCTTACAAAAAATGCTTCAACAAACAATTGGTACAGCTACTGTGGCACAAAAAGATAATTTTTTGCATGCTCTAAACACTAGTAGGGGAAAACAAAATTCATGGATTATTGACTCTGGAGCATCTGATCACATGACTGGAGATTTAAATGTCTTTGATAGCTTTTCTCTATGTCAAAATGATTCGACTGTTCGAATTGCTAATGGTACCCTTTCTAAGGTCATGGGTAAAGGTTCAGTCATTATTTCACAAAATATTACTCTTAGTTCAGTACTTTATGTGCCTAAACTTGACTGTAACTTGCTGTCCATCAGTAAACTTACAAAGGATTTGAAGTGCATCACTAAATTCTTTCCTAACTTGTGTGAATTTCAAATTTTGGAGTCGGGGAGGACGATTGGCAATGCTAAAGAATGTGTTGGACTCTATATCCTTCAGGCTGAAGCATCTAAACCAGAATCCGTGGCAACCTCTTGCACTGTAGTTTCTACATGTAGTGAAAATTCTGCAATGCTGTGGCACTATAGACTAGGCCACCCAAATTTTATGTACATGAAAGAAATGCTTCCTAAATCCTATAAACCTTCCCAACCTTTTTATCTTATTCATAGTGATGTATGGGGACCATCACGGGTCAGAAATGTAATTGGATCAAGATGGTTTGTCACCTTTATTGATGACCACACGCGGATCACTTGGCTCTACCTTATGAAAGACAAATCGGAAGTTGGTAGGCTATTTGAATGTTTCCATACCATGGTGCAAACACAATTTCAAACCAAAGTTAGAGTGCTTAGGAGTGATAATGGTCGTGAGTACTATAATTCTGCACTAAGCTCATACTTTATGCAACATGGAATAATACACCAAACCTCATGTCTGGATACACCTCAGTAGAACGGGGTTGCTGAGAGAACGAATAGACACCTCCTAGAAGTAACCCGATCTCTCATGCTAGCTACAAATGTACCTAACCAGTTTTGGGGAAAAGCTGTCCTCTCGGCAACCTATCTAATAAACAGAATGCCTTCCCGGATCCTTAACTTTCATACGCCTTACTCCACTCTCCAAATCTTATACCCAACTAATCGTATCCTTACATCTATTCCTTTGAAAATATTTGGGTGCACAACCTTTGTCCATAATCTTGATCCCCAACGCAGTAAACTTGACCCGAAATCCATTAAATGTATATTCCTCGGCTACTCTCCTCACCAAAAGGGATACAAATGTTATTCGCCTCAAAACAAAAAATTCTACCACACCATGGATGTAACCTTTTTTGAGAATCAACCATATTACGCCAAAGTTGGCATTCAGGGGGAGAACACCTATCCAATTAAAATGGTAGAATCCCAACTTTTGGAACTTGAGCTAACTGAACCCAAACTCACTGCTGAGCGATCAAAACCTACACCTGAACCAAATGAAAATGCAACAGAAACTGTAGAACCTACACGTGGACTAGAAGAAACTACGTCAGAAAATGCAGTAGAAACAACAGCCCCTACAACAGAAACTGCACCAGGAAACAACATGAAAGTGTACTCCAGGAAGAGCAAGAAGGTAATAGAGTCCTGCACAGCTCCAAGGCAGAACCAAGAAACCTCCAAGACTCTAGAAAATGGCGTTCCCTCAGGTAATACTGCTCCTAACTCTGTGAATGTTGATGATATTGATATTCCTATTGCTTTGAGAAAAAATGTAAGATCGTGTACTAAACATCCCATTGAAAGATTTGTATCTTATGGAAAATTGTCCCAGAGTTACAAGACTTTTGTAACAGCTCTTGACAATACACATATTCCAAGCAACATCCATGAGGCACTCCAAAATTTTGAATGGGCAACAGCCGTAACTGAAGAGGTTCAGGCCTTAATTAAGAATGGCACTTGAGAGATCACAAGCCTACCTGCAGGAAAGAAGCTGGTAGGATGCAAATGGATATTCTCCATGAAGTATAATGCAGATGGGAGTGTAAATCGGTACAAAGCTCGACTTGTAGCAAAGGGATTTACTCAATCATATGGAGTAGACTATGAAGAGACTTTTGCACCGGTGGCCAAACTAAACTCGGTTAGAGTTATATTCTCTCTTTGGCTGCAAATTTAGATTGGCCACTCCATCAACTAGACATCAAGAATGCCTTCTTAAATGGTGACCTAGAAGAGGAAGTTTATATGCAAATTCCTCCTGGACTTGAATCATCTAGCACCGCAAATATGGTGTGCAGGCTCCGAAAATCCCTTTATGGCCTCAAGCAGTCTCCAAGGGCATGGTTTGATAGATTGACTCGAGTTGTCAAGAAAAACGGGTTCAACCAATGTCAATCAGATCACACTATGTTTATTAAACACTCCATGGAAGGAAAGGTAACTTTGTTTATTGTTTATGTTGATGATATCGTTATTACAGGAAATTATTATGATCAAATTGATCATTTAAAGGGACTCTTGGCAAAGGAATTTGAAGTTAAGGACTTGGGACAACTTAAGTATTTTTTAGGGATGGAAGTTGCTCGAACAAAGGATGGTATCTATGTATCACAAAGGAAATACACCCTTGACTTACTTCAAGAAACTGGAATGCTCGGGTGCAAGGCAGCTAATACACCAATAGAACAAATTAAAGGAAGAGAAGATGAAAGTCCACCAGCCGACAAAGATAGATATCAAAGTCTAGTTGGGAAACTAATCTACCTATCTCACACTTGGCCAGACATTGGGTTCGCTGTAAGCTTGGCTAGTCGCTACATGTCAAATCCAACTGAGTCGAACATGAAAATGGCGAATAGAATCCTCTAATACCTCAAAGGCACACCAGGCCGAGGCCTCCACTTCAAGAGGAATTCAAACAGGGACATTGAAGTTTATACAGATTCAGACTGGGCAGGATGCTCCACAGACAAAAAATCGACTACAGGCTATTGTTCATTTGTGTGGGGGAACCTAGTAACTTGGAGAAGTAAGAAACAATCTGTAGTGGCGAGGAGTAGTACAGAAGCAGAATTTAGAGCTATGGCCTTAGGTATTTATGAAGGAATGTGGCTTAAGAGTATGCTAGATGAAATCAAAATTCATGTCAACCACTCTGTAAGGTTACTATGTGATAGCAAAGCTGCTATAAGCATTGCAAAGAATCCAGTCCAACATGATAGAACAAAACATGTGGAAATTGACCGACACTTCATTAAAGAAAAAATTGATCATAAGATTATAAGTATTGATCATGTCCCATCATGCAAGCAAACTGCAGATATCTTAACCAAAGCTCTTCCAAGGAATACTTATGAAAATATCAAATCCAATCTGGGTATGATAGACATCTACCACCCAGATTGAGGGGGAGTGTTGAAGATTAACACATATCAAATCATAATCATTTGATTCTGATTTGTCAAGATGTTACAATACAGTGGTGTAAATAGATTTATTATCTATTATTGTTATTTTCTTATTTAGGTAGTTGTTATTTCCTTATTTAGGTAGCAGCAATTATAGGAAATTATTTCTCTGTGTATTAACAAATTAGTGTACAGTTTATGTATTCTATTTATACCTCACAATGTAAGAGTCCCAATCACAATGAAATATACAACATATTTCTTCTATAGAAGTAATTTACATAATAGATTCCTCTTTTTGTATTAAGTCTGTTTGAGTTCAATTTAGGCCTTTGACCTTCGTTTAGAAGTCTATCGGAGTAAATCTTCTTCCCTCAACGTCTGTAATTTTGGATAGAAAACAGAAGACGATGAACTAACCTGCTATCCATATTTGTCAATATTGACAGTGATAGAGTGGCAGTTGGGCGAGCCCTGGATCTCCCTGTGTACTTTGGAGATGCTGGCAGTCGAGAGGTAGTACTCATGATTTAGGTACATGTGTCACATGCTTGTTACCTGATTTTCTTTTTAATGGATGACTAGGTCCTACATAAGGTCGGGGCTGAAAGAGCATGTGCTGCAGCTATAACTCTAGATACGCCTGGAGCAAATTATAGAACAGTTTGGGCTCTGAGCAAGTACTTCCCAAATGTGAAGACTTTTGTTCGCGCCCATGATGTTGATCATGGCTTGAATTTAGAAAAGGCCGGAGCTACTGCGGTAATATTCTCATAACTATGTCTAGTATTCATGTTTTTGTTGCCTTATGAGACAATTCCAAAACTGTAGGAAAAGAGTCTTGCTCTTAATTCTTGCCTTTTCATAGCAAATTGAAAGCAAAACTGGCTATTAGTGGAATGCTCACTTAGAATTATGTCATTTACAGGTGGTCCCAGAGACCTTGGAACCAAGTCTTCAATTAGCAGCTGCTGTGCTTGCTCAGGTAAATCAAATTTCATTGAATCCCTAAACATGCAGCCGGTACAGCCAAATCTCAACTATTTGATCAAGATACAAAGGTATTCAAAAATGTGGATTTGGCTGGACAGGCTATACAGCTGAAGAGGATCTGAGTTGATTTTTATTGCCATAGAAATATTGACCAATTGTTTTTTTTTTGTCTCACTGTCTCTGATAATATTATATATTAACACTTTTTTGATTATGACATTATTAAGTTATAAAAGATCATGGTCGTTACTTGTAATGGAATCTTGGTTACATTAGCTGAAAATTCCCCTTCTCATATTAATTTACTAAGCAGCAAATAGCTGTACTTTCATAAGAAATATGAAAAAAAAAAAGGAAATATATGTCGGGTAATTGTTTAATGCAGGCCTTCTGAGAATCAAAACATTCAAAGAAAAGGTTTTGGTTGTACCAGCTTATATGAATATATGAGACATTAATGTAGCACGGAGATTGTTGGCCTTCAACTTTCTAACTATTCTTTTATTTCTTTAGGCTAAACTCCCCGCATCAGAGATTTCAGCGACTATAAACGAATTCAGATGTCGACATCTAGCTGAGCTTACAGAGGTATGCATTCTGGGGACCAGTCCCTGAAATAGTAGTGTTGTCAACTTGGATCCTGGAACTTTAGAGTTTCTGAATGATCTCCAGATTAAAATTCACATTCACGTTAGTCCTTGCTAGAAAATTTCAGTGTCTAAATTGACCGATCCAAAAGGACTAATATGGTAGGAAAGTTTTAATATTGACTGATCCAAAAGGACTAATATGGTAGGAAAGTTTTAATATTAAGGACCATTTAAAAATTCTTATAATATCAGGGACTAATTTGATAGCACACCATTATTTTAGAGATTAAATTAGTGATTTGCTCTTTTGAATTTATTCAAAATCATACAATAATGAAATGACTCGGGTATAGTTGATGTATTAATGAATGTATGTTGTTCTTGTTCAATTTATGCAGCTTTGTGAAGCAAGTGGAAGTTCTCTTGGTTATGGATTTACTAGAATTATGAGCAAATCCAAATCTCCATCCCCAGATTCAATAGATTTAGATGATACCCAAGTCTCTGAAGGGACACTGGCAGTATGAAGATTATCCCACGTATACAAAATAGATGGCAGAAGAAAATAAAGGTTAGGAAAAGAGGAAACAATTGTGGAAAAGTGTATAGCAGATTGTAAGTTCCTTTATGTACAGAAATATAGCGGGATAGAAAGAGATGCAATATAGTTTCATCTAATTGTCATCTTTTCTCTGGCCAGGAAATTTTGGCACCAATATTTGTCAAATTTCTGTTAGGAATAATCTCTGTTGCTGTTGTTGTTTTATCTGCCTTAGTTAGTTTTCTCATTATCTAATTTCTTTTATTTAATAAAGTCACCTCATCCCTTCTCTATCAATTCCCCATCTCTTCTCTGTCAGCTACACACATCCATGAATATAAAGTTTATTATTGTTTTAGTACCAACGGCTACAATAAAAGAGACGTAAATTGTTAGAATATAAAGCTTTCACTTTTTACAATAATAATGGGGTGGCCAAATCCAATTTCCATGTAGCGGGGGGTCAACTTCACTTCTATATATATATTCAAGTGATTTATAAACTTAACAAATTGAATTATATGTATCTTAAGATCGGTTCAATTAGTTTAACACAATTTAATTTTGGGTTAATACTTCTTTTTTCCATCTGCCATTTGGGTCATTTTTGAAAAATTCTCTAGTAAAAAAAATTGAATTCCCTCATAACCTTCTCTCTATTTCCCTTCATTAAATCAATTCACCTAAAAAGTTGACGTGTCATTTGACATGTATGCAATTTTCATTTTAAATCATTTTCACATGTATAAATCAGCAAGGATACTTACCAAATTACCCCTAATGCAAATCTAGCACTTTAAAGGTATCTCAAAGAATAGAAACTCTAGAAATTAGAATTGTGCATTTCTTCTTCGTTTCACACCCTAGAAAAAAGAAGACCTTTCACGTTTTTCACTATGATTCATTGTTGCATCTCAGCATCAAAAAGGAAAAGTCCTTTTGACATATCATTGGCGTTCGTTGCCTGCACTTTTGTATTCTATTATTGCATTGGTGGCATCTAAAAGGTGTGATTCTTTTAACTTTGTGTGATTTTAAGTGGTTCCAAACATATTGTGTCAATTTGTAGGTAAACTTTAGGGGTAAATTTTGGTTAGTTTCATTTGGAAAGTTAAGTTACGTTTTCACTTTTTCGATAAACTTTGGCTAGTTTCATTAAAATGTGCATGTTAATGTAATTGCAGACATGAGCTTATGCAGTGTGATATTTCACCATGGGGAGAACTGTATTCACAACAAGCACACGTTTTACATGGAGGGACTAAAACCATTGTAGAAGGGCAACATCTAGATAAGTGGAATTTTTTCGAGGCGGTTAACTTAGTTAAAAAGTGGGGACATAATGGATTTATACTTTGGAGAAAGATACCAGGACTTGATGAAGGGTTTGTCCATTTTATTGATGATGTAAAATATGAAGAAATTGCTAATCATAGCCTTGAAAATAATTTTTATGGTCAAATATAGGTTGAGCATGGTGTTGAAAACATGATAAGCAAGGTGTTAAGGCCTAATGTTAATCAATTCAATAAAGGTAGTGATGATGTTAACACTGATGATGATGATGATGATGATAGAGGCATAAAGTTGATGATACAGAAGAAGAAAGAAATTGTGAAGGAGATGAAAAATTTGTGAAAGTTGTAGCGGAAAGACCAACACATGGTAATAACGCTGAGGTAAATGAGAAGTTATTTAGATTCAAGGTAAAGGGTACCAAAAAACAAAAGAAGGGAAAATCTCCATCCAAACTGAATTTGTTTGTTGATGCAAGAATTATAGGTGATTATTCAAAGAGGATTCCCAATAATGTTGGAAGTCAAGATGTAGAGTATGAAAGTGAAGAATTGGAAAGCTCAGAATCTGATGATAGTTGCAATGATAGACTTCCTAAGTATGAGAAGTTTAGAGGAGAGTTGTTGAACAACAACCTCAAATTAAACTAGGTATGAAATTCAATTCTTTATCCGAATTCAAAGATGCAATTAGGGAGTGGTCTGTTTTAAATGGAAGAGAGATAAAATTTGTGAAAAATGAAAGTTATAGGGTTAAGGTGGAGTGTAGGGGTAAATGTGGGTTTCTAGAATTGTGTAGTAAAGTGGGTGATAGGCGCACCTATAAAATAAAGACATGAATGAAGACATACACATGTTCTAGGGTATTAAATAACAAATTTACTAACGCCAAGTGGATGTCCAAGTTAGTTGTGGAAAAAAGGAAGTCAATGGTAAGGTTAAAGTGTCTAAAATAATGTCAGAGCTAAGGATGAAGTACTCAGTTGGTATAACCAATGAGAAGGCACATAGAGTTAGGTATATTGCAAATGAAATCATTGGGGGAGATGCAAAAAAACAGTATACCATGTTGTGGAGATATGCAGATGAGTTAAAGAAGCAGTTCCATGGAAATACTTTGAAAATTAACACTGAGAGATGATTACCAACTTTTCCACCAAGATATGGGAAAATCTATTTTGCTTTGAAGGTTGTAAGAAAGGTTTTACTAAAGGATGCAGACCTTTCATTGGAGTAGATGAGTGTCACCTAAAAAACACAATATGGTGGGCAATTATCGGTGGCTGTTGCTAAGGATCCAAATGACCAGTACTACCCTTTGGCTTTTAATGTAGTGGAGACTGAAATAAGGCATAGTTGGAAATGATTTTTACAATTACTTATTGAAGATATTGGTTGTGGGTGCAGTAAAGCAGCAAGAAAAAAATATTAAGTACCTAGTTTTGTCGTCTCCACAGGGATCGATACGATACGAACGCCGTTCAACGGTTTCCATATTTCTAAGCCTATTGCTCAAAAGTTTTGTTTTAAAAGGTTCAAGGAACCATGAATAAAAACAGAAAATGTAAATTAAAACAGAAATATAAACGGAGCCTTGTTGGGATTGGATCTCATCAGTTGAAAACATATGCATTCTTCTGATCAAATTAAACACAACGCAATCATTCGTCTAATACTCTTACGTATCACCCACGACAGAGCTTATCTCTAACGCAACGTCAAGAGAAAAACCGTGTTGTCTCATTAGTGATCTCTCAAATACAACACAGAGCATTAAGAACTGATACTCACGCAAATGCTAAGCCTAAACCTATGTCTAGTGTTTAGGACCTAACAGGTAATCATCCTAGATCCAGATTTGAAGAGTATATGTCTATCACGGTTCAAATCAAAGATAAACAGGTAAACAAAGATGACACCCATATCGGATAAACGATTGTTTTGAATAAAATACAATGATCAAAATACGTACATACGCTTAACCCTTTTTACATGAATTCATCTAATTTGCCAAATGTATGTGAACATCTTTTTTCATCACTATTATCACGCACCCGCACAATATCGTATTGATTCTACTCATGCTACCCATGCTACTTAATCAACATAACACAAATGAAGACACAATGAATATCAACTTATAAAACCATGTCAAAAGTTTGTTCATTGATAGATGAAAATCTTAGATCAAAGATGTGAAAAAGTTTTTAAAAGACCCACATACAAGCAATCAAAGATAATCAATCAATAGAGAATCAAAACTAGTTCACAAACATATATTAGATGAAATACATAAGGTATCAAAATATTAGTCCAAACCCCAACAAGAGATCAAAGATCTTACCTCCTCCCTCTTAGGGTTTTGTGTTTCTCTCTCTAAAATAAACATGAAATGAAGAGAGATAAGTTCTGATGTAAAAAATGTTATATTATTTTTGTATTATGACCTAAAAAGAAATAAAAATACTTATATAGTACATTCAGGATCTATCATATTCGCCTAACGAACATCAAATTAGGCATCTGAGGTGCCTCTGAACAGGTAAACCGCCCCTGAGACTTTTCCAAAAGTTCGCTAGGCGAGTAATCCTTCGCCTAGCGAAGCCTTCACTGTGAACTTTGCCTAACGATTTTATGGCCCTTTTCGCCTCTGTCCAAAGTTTGGGAGTGTTCGTTAGTGCTTCGCCGCTTCTTCACCTAGCGAGTTCTTCGCTACATAGTTCGCCTAGCGAACTTTGTGAAGTTTTCTTGAAAGCTTCGCTAGGAGCTTCGCATGGCATGTTTTGTGATGTTTTTCTACTGTCTTGGTTTCCTTGCCCAATTTCTTGTGTCTTACTATTCACTTGTTTTGTGCCTAATTCCTGCACAATAACACACAAATCAAAGCAACAAAGGCATTTTCACACAATGAAGCATATCATAAAAAACAAGAGTGATTCTAATCACTTTACCTACAAAAACGAATGAAAGATGCCAACATTTGATATAGCAAATAAGCAAAGTTTGGCATCTAACAACTCTCCCCAACTAGATTTTTGTTTGTCCTCAAGCAAAGTATACCTCTCATTTCAAACAAGAGGATTTACTCAAGATTAATATTCAACCAAGAATGGATAAAATGACTCAAACACAAAGAATGCAAACAAGCAATGATTTCAAATGTTGAGAATCAAACAATGCAAAAGAACTAAATTCTTAAAACAAATATAAAACCATGCATCAATCAACAAATATGTTTTTTGTGAATGAATCACTCTATCTCTTCTCTTCGAATAAGGATTGAAGAAATTACACGTTTGCAACCGCGGGGACAATTTCACTCACCTAACAAACAATGCCAATATCAATCCAATTCATACAATATCTAACAATAAAAAATGAAAGTATGAAAGCAAGAAGATCATTAAGGTTTTTAGGGTTGTAGCTTGGTCGGGTTTACAAACAAGGGACATTTTTAAGGCCATTGAAACGAAATTGCCGATGCAAAAGAGACATTCACCGTACACGTTATTTACACACCTCAACTTCATTCCATTTGTTTTTTTGATTACAAACCTTCCCAACTTTATTTCACAACTTATTCTTTCACTATTTTTATTTTCCAAGCAAACATTCTTTTTCTCTTTTTTTTTACATTCATTTTTTTTATATTCATTTTCACATAACAATTTTTTTCAATGCTTGCTTGAAT